CCAGGGTATAAACCGCAACCACACTCGACCAATCGTCCGACGCCAGGCAAAATTGAGTGTCCATGCAGACTGAGAAAGCTGGCGGATCCTAACGGTCGAGGGAATACAGGCGAAAATGCTAGAAAATTTGGCACGTTGTTCCACGTTGGCTCAAATGGTCCTTCGAAGCCTATTGTCGGAGGAGCCATCAAGGAACAAACCGGCTCTCCTACTCGGCGAAGAAAACAGTTTAGGTAGTTGGGGACAATACTTCCAACAAGTCACTTCACCACATGCAACTTTCAAACTGTCCTCCTTTAACAGGAAGACGGGCTGAGAATATGGGCCCTCCTCAACACCATAGGTGTCCGAGTGTACACCGTTACTCAAGTGCCACCGTGCTCGTGGTTCAAAAGATCTTTGGCTTTTTGGTTCAATGATGGCGGTTAATTCCTGTCAGTACCTGTCCAGCGAACCTAAGTCTACCTGCGAGAAAGCAACCATACCGAACGACTAGACTGAATCGAATATGAAACCTATCTGCAGTGTCGGGAGGACTGCCTCCAGACGAACAAATCCACTTTGCTAACGATTTTCTCGTAGGCGGAAACCTTATTTTTACATTTCAGCCTCTCACTGACATTCTATTGGACTGGTAACTCTTTTTATATTCTGGATCAGTTACATTCCATATAACGGGACGATCCACTTGTTTTCAGTGTAACTTCCTCGAAGCTGTTTCCCTACCTCATTCCGGTGAACTGACGAGTCTGACCGATACATTACAAGAGAACAGAACACGCACTGAATGTAGTAATCACATTTGACTCCCGTCGTAACAAGACCTCTGACGACACCGAGATCTTTCATCGTCTTACGGTGGCACGCGAAAACTTGACCCGTGAGAATCAAGCGGGATTTTTATCGGACAGAGACGGCGTCGACTACACATTCACACTTAATTAGGCGCTAGAGTGAACCCATATGGACAGACGAATCACAATCTTCATGTGAATTCAAGGATGCGTTTGATGCTGTCGATCGATCAGTGGTAGTAACCACACTTGATCAACAGATTAACTTGATTCAAAAGAAGTCTGTAAACATAATCCGACCCCTATATTCACATACTTCTGGGCGTGTTTGGGTGTATGGTGAGTTTCACGGAAACTTCCCGTAAAAAGTGGTGCCTGGAGAAGATGAAAGCTGTCTCTAATACCACTCAATTATATCACTGATGAAATAATGAAGCAGACCTCGGAAGGTCCTCAACACCTTGGTGTTCAAATCATTGTTTGTTAGAACTTAGTAAACCCGAAGCATACAGACATCGTCCTCATCTTTGAGGACGAAGGTAAAGCAAAATCTCTTCTGAATAAACTGAGTACCACCATACCATCTTTCGGCATGCGCATCGCATCTTCAGAGTGAAAGGTCATGCTCCACAACATACAGCCACTGAGCATACTCTGTATAATCCAAGAAGTATTGGGTGATGTGAAGAATCTTACCCCAGCGGTTGAGTTAGCTGTGACGAGTGTCTAATTTTGTCAGTGCACGAACCTAATCTGCTAATCTGCATCATAGGTAGCATCAAGAGGTATATCACCTGGTCTCGAGAGATGTGCATCAAGCTACCATAATGGCTGTATTTCTGCATGGTTGTGATATGGCCCAGTGGTTAGAGTGCGAAAGTATTCACCGGAAGGTCCGTGGTTCGAACGCAACCTCTGCCACTCGACTTCCCCTGTATAGGCTTGGGCAACCAGGCAGTATCCCAGCCTTCGTGCTTCCTTCTGGCTGGCCCGGCAGTTAGGAGCTGAAAAGGTGATACAAAAGAAAGATGTTTGCGAGGTTGGGCAACCGTATCCCAGCCTTCGTGCTTCCTTCTGGCTGGCCCGGCAGTTAGGAGCTGAAAAGGTGATACAAAAGAAAGATGTTTGCGAGGCATGGCCACTGCGGACAGAGGATGTGGGGTATCATCAGGCCCTTGACTACCGATGCTTAAGACGCGTTGCTGGTATCGGATGATGTCAAATGATTCGCAGCGAGGTAACTAGAAGACGGGAATTCGGTTGTGTAGCAGACACTTCAGTCGCGGAACACACTGACATACATGGCCCCGTCGCGCGCTCAACGGCGCTCATGCATCCAAGTCGTTGTCTTCAATGCATTGCCCTCCTCCCGAGCTCCTCAATGTAAAGTCAAATGACATCCCTTTATTGACAAACCAATTGTCAGCTGACACGTCCAATGCGTGGCTATCTAACCTTACATCGGTAGATCATCGGCGAACAAAACTAAAGCTGCTATAACCACTGTACGACAGGTAGGCTGTTTTTAAGCTGATGACAATGATGATGAGACGCAGAATTGACCAAAGAGTGATAATACGCCGTTCAAGTGGGGCATACTTTCGACTTGCATCCCCGAGATAACTTAGGCCTGTCGTGAAGTCGAGGGCAGAACTCAAACGCCATTTCCGGCCGATAACTATTGCTAACTCATTTTGGTGTGTCGAGTCCAAGCAAAATACCAGGTGAACGTCGTACCAAGAATACCACAATGCTTTCCTGCAAATGTAAATTATGCAGCCAGACTTTGCCACGCCGGAATCCGCGGTAATCAAAGAACAAGTCGGTCGTCCAACGGGTGTAGAACAGTGGCGAAAATAGCAGTAACTTCAATCAGGTAGGCCCATTTGGACATAAAAACAACGAGGTTGAACTGTGGCCTAGAAACCTGTTGAATCTGCCTCGATAGTTCAGAGCAAACCAAACCTGAAATGACTGAAGTTTCAAACACACTGCTCGGCTGCTCGTAAGCAAACTGGATGAAGAGACACGAGATTGAAGAACATTTGGCAGAAACAGAGGTTCTAAGCCGAGGTAAGTGAGTCTATTTCTAGTAGAGTTAGTTGAGGGGACTGAGCAACAAAGACGATGCCATGTGTTCAGAGGTGTCAATATCACGAATATCACATTGTACGCATCGAAAATCTACACAGATAATAGTGCGGAGTTCCTGAATGAATTTTCGGCGACACTGTCGCCCGAACTTCAGGAATCAGACAATAAGCCTATGGGGCTTATATGATTTGAGTAAACATCCAAAACCAATAAGTGAAAGATGAGGTCATTCTGAGTTATGCCGGTTAGACACTACACAACGCGTAGTACAGAACTGTCAATCACATGGAGATCTTTTTGCTCAGCCATAAGGAGATACAAACGACAGGACAGTCTACGACCAAATATCACAATCAGTGAGAAAGGAAGCGAGGGCTTCACACACATAGTACGAAGGTTCCGATAAGAAGTCACTTGACATGAATACCGCCACCCATCTGAGTAGTAGAAAAATAACCATTCACCCGCAACACCCTTTCAATGCCTAGCTGATATATTGCCCGAAGGAAGCACGAGGGTTGAGATACTGCCAGGTTACCCAATCCTAAACAGGAGCAGTTGAGACGCAGAGATTAGGTTCGAACTACAGAGTTTATGCTCAGTGATCTCACGCTTGAACCGCTGAGTCACCTCCATCGGGGAAAAAATGACCAAGTAAGGGGCGGGAATGACCCAGTCATAATATCTGTGCGACAAGGCTATCGTATTCAATGCATGACCACCCGGCTTTAGTTCAGTAGGTAATCGGAACGACAAGATCACAGCAAACTGGCAATACTGTTGTCTTTGCTGCGTACTCATCTCCTCCTTGCCATCGGATTAGCCTGCAGCAGCCGGAAACACTGCACGACGAGTACGCGGTTATTACAGCTGACAATGACAGCCCGCTGATAGTGTTGGATATATGCACCAATTTGTCATCTCCCGCCCGCAATGCGCAGCTTCCTACCCCCCCCCCCCCCCCAACACAAA